AAAACATGCTGCTAATTTAAAAAAATGAAAGCCAAAACAAAGCAGAGTGGTTCAAAAACATACAAAAAAAATTATTTACCGTGTTGTTCAACTGCAGAGGACAAAGGAGAGGGCATCTGGAAGATCTGCACACAAACAGACATGAAACAATGAACTCACTGTTCTACTGAACTAAAGAAAAAACAGAGAAACAGACTTTTCAATAACTTAAAAATCTCAAAGCAAAGATATGACAGAGATCAAAATTAAATGTTTGACATGTTTCTGTTGGTGAGTGGACTCTTCTCCTCCCATGAGAGCGCTGCAGGTCATGAAAAGCTGAGTTTATCTTTGAAATAATAAAAAAAAAACAGGATGACCTTTACAGAGAGGAGAACTGAAGCGATCAGCAGCGTGTGGCGACGATATAACACAGACTGTGTAAGTGGGAAGCGTGGGATAAAAGATGCTCTTCTATTTCTCACACTAAGACCTTTAAACTGAGAAATCTAAAACAGCATCACTTTCTGCTGCCAGGCCTCAGACGATCGCTGCAGGAGAACATCGTCTTCACGCTGAGAGCTTGTGGATCCAGTCTGAGAATCATTTCCAGAAATCTGATTTCACAGAGTCGTCCTCAAGCTGCACAGCAACATGAGCTCAACACTGTATCAGTGTTTCTGTTTCTCTCTGTAACGTTCAGAGTATTTCAGTCAGTTCTGCAAATGTACAGCAAATAATTTTTAACCCAAATTTTGCCTTCTGCTTTATGTTTGCTGTGTCTTGTTTTTGTGTGCAAGTTATAATTATTAATAGTTGTATTTATAGTTTTTTTTCAGGCATCTTAAAAAACCCTCTGAAAAACTCAAACCCATTCATTGTCTATGTGTTGTGCTGCGTTAGAGCAAATGTGGGCCCCACCTAGCTGAGTTCAGGAAAAGGCTGCGCTTAACGGAAGTATGTTTTTTTTCTACTTTGGCTCAGTACTCCGTGACGTCACCTACACATGTCCAATTGGAGGGAAGATCAGATCACAACAAACAGTTTACCACTTTCCTGAGCTCTAGTTTAAAGACAAAAATCTCAGGTTTGAAAAGAGACGTCCAATAGTTTGGGCGTACCAGGTTTGTTTAAAAAAGCAGCAGAAATATGTGTCGTTATAGAGCTGCAGCTTCTGGACGAGCCTTAACTCACCCAAATCCTGTCGTGCCCTGAGGATTTCACGAACCCCCAAGATCTTCATTTCCCAGTCTCCTAAAGTAAAATTTCCACATTTAGTTTGGGTGAGCCGACATGTGAATGCAGTAGGAAGTATTCAGGAGAATTCATGAGGATGATGACGCCTATATGCTGCAGCAGGTGTGATGGTTGTGCATGTAGTGAAGCAGCTTTGTACTCTCTTTATACCAGGAGGTTCTTTTCCACTCATATGTTGGTACTGTGTGTACATTAAACTACACACAACATTGTTATGAAGACAAAACTGAAATTTCCCTCCACCATGATTATGATTTATAAATGTTATCATTTTAATATCAGGCTTTAACATCATGCTGTAAGTGATCAGCATATTCCTGTGGACACTAAAGGACATCTCCTGAGAGATATATCTGACTTTTTAGCTACTTGCCTGTTGACATATGCACCTCACAGCGAGAGAGTTTCCCTGAAGGACGGGGTAAAAAGGAAGTGGCAGAAATGACGAGTCCAGCAACAGCGTCTCACGCTTAATTACAGTTCTTTTTATTTCACCACCAGTTGTTCCATTAAGTGTTATGATGCCATTTCCTATTGTTTGTGCTGTCACTTCATCCTGAAAACACACACAGTTATTGTGTATGTTGCCATGTTGATATATACATGTTTTAAAGTGAGAGGTAGTGGAGAAAAGAGAGAGAGGCCGGAGTTTAACCAGCATGCGACGGTTCATGTGGCCGACCTGTGGAGAAGCAATATGGGCTGAAAGCTGCTAATCAATAATCCATCAGCCGCACACAGACGGGTCATTGTTGTAGGAACAACCTGCATAACTGTTTCTTTATTCTGATAAATAATGTAACATATGAGACCTGAACAAAAGCTGCAGTGGAAGGTCTCACATGGGGATTATTCATAGATTACTAACAAGATTTTATACTGAGAGTCAGTGTACAGATAATTACAGGTCTCAATTACAACATATCACTGCAGGTCGAAGGTAATCCACACATCAATCACCCTCGTATGAGCAGAGTGGGATTAGGTGTGCTGCAGGTGAGATGAACACAGAGAGAAATTGATGAGGTTTGAGACCGAGAGTGAAGAATGTGTGACCCCCCCACCCCTCCTCTATTATTCTGTTGTTTCTGTATCGATCACACAGCTGAGGCTGCAGACAGACGGCCCAGGCTCAAAGCTTTAAATCCAGGTTTCCGATTGTTAATCCTCTTTGGAAAACTTGTAAATGTATGTGTATGCTTCCATATTAGCAACAGACCTGTGGGCGTAATGAATTCCAACAACACTGCAGTCGTTAATTCACCACTTTCCTCTTTGATAAGCAGTCTGCCATGGAATTAAAAGAAACAGGATTAGGGCAAAGCATGCTTTAAAGTACAAGAAATTTGCCGAATTAATCTTTTGTGCAATAAAACTAAACAGAATAATAAGAACGTTAAAAGCTATTATTAAAGAGTAAACCTCTCCACTTACAAAGAAATTGAATAGAACAGGATTCAATGAAATCATATTATAAAAACAAAATTTTTTGACTAAAGGTGCAACGGAGGAGCTGAAGAGTCGTGCAGGAATGTGCAAGATGATGGTGAGTGCAAAATCTAACAGTATAACATTTTAATAGATATACTGGAGTCCAGTGTGGGTGTCGTGTTATTCTCCAGTCTGGTAAGAACAAACAGAATCATATATAAAAAACGATTATACTGTATATGTTTTGTACAGAACTTCGAAATATTCAGAGTCAGCTGGATAAAACCAACAAGAACTCGGAGGTCTTTGGGAAAATCTGCGACTATTCAGTATTAGGACGTGATGATGTACGTGCTCAGGTTGGGCCTGGTGCAGAGTGAGTGCAGGCCAGCAGGGGGGTGAGGAGGGGGATGGTCGTGCTTCGGCACGGTACAGGACAACTGTGCCTAATGTGAATGGGCCCTTGATAAAACAGGTGGTGGAAAACCAATAAGGTGAGAAGTGGCTGAAGGTGATCTTCAAGGGAAAACATAATTTTGTCATAGTAATGACAAAATGAAAACAAAATCTTCAACATAAGTTTTTATTTGTATTTTTATTCAACAAGGAAAGAAACTCATTGAGATTAAAAATCTCTTCTTCAAAAGTGTCCTGTCCACTCTCATAGTGTAATTTAAAATAGATACAGAGAGTCTATTTCTTTATCGTGAGCAACAGACAAAAATAAACTGGCAGCCGTTTTTAAAATGTCAACGTGCCCTTTAATCACTAACATACGACACTGGATTTCTGAATCGACCCTCCATGTGTGTTCAGCAAACTAACCCTCATTATCAGCCTCCTGCTGCTGTCGGACACGTTTCCATGGAGACTCAAACCTGTTTCACATCCATGCAGAAAACAATCACAGCCTGCCATTAGCAGCTGAGGATTCTGGGTCAAATTATTACCCTTGCATTTTCAAAACACCACAGCTGTAATGTGCATGCACAGATTAAATAGAGATCACTGTCTCATTTTAACAGCTGGCTATGTAATTCTCATGATAATCAAGAGCTGTTGAAAGCCGTTTACTCGTGCGCTTCATAAACACTTATTCCTTTCAGTATCCAAATATCTCCTTCATTCACTGATCCTAGTCAGTTCCTCTTCTTATATTTTTATCTAAAGTTCTTTTGTGCTAAATTTAAATAAAGAGTAAAACATACTCTGTAAATCCTCTCCTCCCCTGCTTAATATTGTAGAAACTGTCATGAATCACTTTTAAAGCTCAGGAGGTATCGAGTATAAAAATATCAGCACTCATTTTCCCAGCAGAATAACAAGTCAGGGCAGCAGCAGCCTCTACCTGGTAAAATTGCTGTTGTTTTTTCAATAGAGTTTGGTGGCTTTGAAGATAATGATATAACAGCTGTTTCTGGTCTATTCCTGCAGCTCTCAGAATAACAATCTGAGTCTGTCGGTGACTAAAACAAGAGCATTTTCTGGACGTAAGGTTTTATTACAGACAGTTTTGAGGCTGTCTGTCAGGAGTTTGTATACTCTTAAAGCATTTGGACCGAAGCCTCCTGGTGGATGGGAGAGTATCATCCAGAACTTCCACCAGATACAGTATGTGTGTGTTGCATATCAGCTCTGTGTTTTCAGTGCGCAATGCGGACCAGCACCGCCAGAGAACTGTAGTCATTAGACCAAGGAGTTCCCAAAGTAATTATAGACAGCTACAGATAATACGGTGTATGTGGTATAAAACCCGTATGAACGCAACAACAAACACACATAAGGTCATTGTTCCAAACCGTAAAACAGTGTTTTACTTTGAAAATAAATTGGATGTTTTAATGTTGTTTTGGTGTCTGACTTCCTGTCCCGCTGGATCAGCTCTGTGGCAAATTGATGTACCATACTCTGGCATCCAGCACAAATTGAAGCCTTGTGTATCTGCTGCAGAGGACCCTGGGCTGTAGGAGCTGAGACACAGCGCTGCGCAGCCAGTGGAAGCACACACATTGACTAAAGTAAAAAAATATCAGCTATGCTGCCGTGGAGGAGCCGAGATAGACCGACCAAGCATCTGGTGGAAATTAGCAGTCAGAGTGAGTGTCCAGGAGGAGAGGAGGTCAACCTCAAAAGCCCTGTGTCCACCAAGTGGTGACACATTGTAGCCTGCCAATAAATTCAGAAAAGAAGAAGAACGTCACAGGGTCAACAAAAGGTAACAATGGAAGACGTCCAGCAGAGGTCTACACCGCCGAGTTCGTCCATTGGACAATGCGCTGACATCAAACAGGCTGCAAGAAGGCAAGAAGGCAAACATCTGCATTAACATCAAACAGGCTGCAAGAAGGCAACACATCTGCATTAACATCAAACAGGCTGCAAGAAGGCAACACATCTGCATTAACATCTAACGCGCTGCAAGTACCGAAACGAAACTAGAAGAATATTGGAAGGGCCGTTTTGGCCGCATTTCAGGGTTTTCAAAGCACTACTTCTTCGGTGTCGGCCACAGGATCTTCCACAGCGCCATCACAGCACTTGGTACGTTTCTTTTCTAACGGCTGATTTAGCCTACTGTGTTTGGTGTTGTTACCTTTTTATGTAGCCTAGTTAACGATCAACATAGGCTACTTCATGCTCAAGCCTATTTACTTCGTTTTTGCGTTGGGTAGCTGATTCACATGATGGGCTATTAAAATGAAAATGGTTTTATTAATGGAGTTAACGCAATCAGCAATGAACGTCATGTCTCCTTAGGGCGCCAGCAGCACGGCACCTGGACCAGCCACATCCTCCACCTTGTCAACACACCGCTTGGTACGCTATTATACGCCAGTCATACAGATGTTGTTGTTGTTTTAATATGTGTGGTATATCAACTTTATTCTTATTATCATCAAGGTATGAGATAACATGATAATACCAATCAATTTAATTAAAACTCCTCAGGGCACAAACAACTCATCCACATCAGTACTGCACTTCACTGTGCAGTGTTTAGATCAGTGCTGGTTTTAAAGAAAAAAGGTTGAACCACCTAATATAACAATTTGTGAGAGATGTTGCTCAAGTGACCTTTTTGCTGCCAGCAATACCAGTGAGAATTCATGTGTAGATAATCGTATCAATTGGTCTGCATCCATATTTTTTGGAAATATGAACAAAAACCATTCTTGTGGACCTCTTGTAATGCAAGGTTGTCAGTATGTGTTTGTAATATTTCTTCATTTCAGGTTCCCCTTCCATCAGTTCCTCAAAGACAAGCCACTCGCCAACGTTTGTTAGGAGAAACAATGTCTGCAGACTCTACACGAGGGATGTTGTGTGTTTTCCTGTGTCTTCAGCATCTATGTTCTGCATACCCAGAGGAGACTCAAGAGCAAAATTGGCAAGGGGTGGCCTTGTTGGGAAGATCTCCTTTACATCGGACTGGTCTGAAACACAACTCAGGGAAGAAATTACAGACATTTTCAGAAGAACATTTGCATTGTCCGTGGGCCAGTCATTCCCATTTGAGTATTTAAGTACAATCCAGGGATCTAAAAGACTGATGAAACCAAATGTCTCCAGCAATTTTTTGTGGGGTGGTAAAGAAGTTGCATCAATTTCTTCATCCTCTTGTCTTTATATAATGGCAAGAATTCAGAAACCTGCACAGGTAAAGACAAGCATCTTACATTATGGTACACACATTTCAATATTTAACTCTACTGTATATGTCACTTGATTTTTCTCTCGTTCCCTCTTTCTCAATATATATTAACACCCCCTCACCAAGGAGGAACCTGAGGAACTCTCTGATAGTGACTTTGAAAGCCCAGTCTGCAAGAGAAGGAGAGGTGGGTTTAATAAATGTAAATGTTTTTTATTGGCATGGTTATAAGGTTTTTTTTCTCAATATATGGAAAGCTCAGTCACCAGTTATTTTCACACTGCAGGGCTTTGACTATCACAGTTCATGAGTTGCATGTTGGTGCTGCCCACAAAATTCAGATTAGGGTAACTAGATACTCTCAACGGTTTACACTAAGTCATAGTTTAGTTTTTGTGGTAAGGCACAAGTGTGTATATGTGTATTGTCTCTGATGCTTTAGAGCAGTGATTCTCTACATATTAATTTTTATCTGTTTCTTTCTTCATTGCATGTTTTGTAAAATCCAAACTGCACCATTTTTCATCAAATATGTGAGGGCACTCCCTCTTTCTGCTCAGTGAGAGTGGTGAGAAAATCAACTCATTGCAATCAGGTGTGTGTGGCACTGACTGGCTTTGATTAAGCCAAGGTGTGGGGAGATTTCATATACCCTGAGTCTCCAGTGCTCTGTGCTGATTCATTATCTCACCTTCAGAGGTAGTGAGAGGTTCTCCCTGTGGTTTCTTGAGTGGTTGTGTTTATCTACGTATAAACACCAACCAAGAACTTTCTACATGAGATTTCCATTGCCGGTCTCCCAGTGTTTAACTTAAGGTGCTGGATAGTTTCGTGTCTACTCCAGTCTTTTGTGTTATCAAAGGTCTCCTGGCAGCCTTTGCTTTTTGTTTCGTGTTTTCTGGGTCTCCTGGACAATTTTGGTTTTGAGTCAGCTGCTTGGCAGCAGTGGTTTAGTTAATCCTTTTCAGTGTCTTATTTAGGTTAGGAAGCCTGTTGTGGCTCTAAACAGTTTTGTTGTTTCTTTCCTGAACCTGAAGAGAAGGAAGGCCTCGGTGGCACACAGCAAGACATTGCATTGCATCAAGGGAGAAGTTGGTTAAAACATTTATTTCATTGATGTTTTTAATGGGCTGTATGGTATTTCAGAGTTATTGAGATATCAGTGTTTTCTCGGCTGTCTTGTCTTTGGTATTTTGCAGCTTTTCTTTGTTGAGGAAGGTTGAGTGATAGTTTACTACTGGACACAATTGAGAAGAAGCACTTCAACAACAGCTCTTCTCATTGGTCTTTTTTTAATCCAAATTATTTTTTGATGTTTAAAGAAAAATACTTAAAAGATCGACTAAGATTAAGTTGCACTTAGGATACATTTAGTAGATGAGGTAAATATGACTATGAAAATATTTTCTCATGCAGTGCATCATACAGTGACTTCATCACCCATGGCAAGTGAGGCCAGACATCATGAGACAAGGGGCAGCACTCCAGAGAGTGAAAATGAGGGACAGGCAGAAGACTTGGGACACTTGTTTCCATATAATTTGGCAGAATTTGTCTAAGATATTGTGTCAAGTTAATAGAAATAAGGCAGTGCAAATGTTGGTCTATTTATACTATGTATCTATAACAGTGATTTAGAATTAACCGTCATTAATTTGTGAGTCTTGAGGTGGACAACATGCTGTTGATTTACACTTTTGCCACTTTAACCTTCTCATGTTTATTTCACCAATCAAAAAAGATTTTTTACTTTCTGTCACCCTAACTTTCTACTGTCCCCTTTTGCCTCTTCCTTGCTCAGCCCTATTTATCTGGAGGAAGATGACGCTTTTGAAGAGGCAATTCAGTGTAGTCTCCTGTAAGAGTCTGATAGGCCTAGTGCTGTTCATGTTTTAAGGTAAGATTTAATCAGTAGCCCTATTCAGACCGCCAATTCAAGGCGTGAAATTTACCCCCCAGTGGTGTCACCTACACTTTGGATGTCACAGGGCGTAACTGAGGGAAGAAGTAACTCCACCTCTGTACCAACATTGAATGAGGTGATGGAAGCATTACAGGGGCGAAAACGTGATCAAGCAAAGTCAAACAGTGCTGCGTTTATGTGCATGCACACAACGCCCTAACACTGTAAATTCACAGACTGGGACACCAGTATTACGATTTTTCTAAATCTAATGTATAAAGATGTAATGAAGGCAGAGCTTCGTGATGGTGCTGTTGCGGAAAAAGACTTTTGTGAACATTGGGATATTCTGGAAGAGGACTGTCAGAAAAAATCTGTTACAAATCATCAAGTTTTATCATTTACATTTAGCTGATTTATACCTATGCCCCTTGTTCAATTCAAAATGCCACCAGTACTTAATTTTATTTATAACACCTTCCACTTAAGATGATTTTACATGCAAGTGTACAAAGCTCATAGTGTTTGTATTTGTTATTCTCTTCTTTATTATAGGTCCTCTGAGATGCTGAGCAAAGAAGAAATAGCAGGCCTTCTAAAAGCTCATAGTGATAGAGTTACTACATCAGGAACAAGACAAATCTGTATCAGTCGAACAAATGTCTGGACCACAGCTTTGCGTCAGTTTAAGAGACAAAGGTTTGCAGAAAGCTGTGACATGCTCTACGTCATATTTGCCAGCTTATGAGCATGATGCTGAGGAAGATGCTGCTGACTTCGGAGGGCCCAGACGAGAGTTTTTCCGTTTACTGGTGAAGGCTATTTTGCAGGACAGCGGAGCTTTTGAAGGTAAGTTAACCGTTTTGTAGGCCTGAATCTCGGCGTGGAATACGCATTTATGGTGAACTTAATTGTTATATTATAAATTCCATTTTCATATTTCTAATGTATTTTTCCACTGTTGGGCACCTTATATACACTTAAGCTCATTTTAAATGTCAATGTGTGTTGAAGATGAATATTTACTCTGAAGTTACCTGGTCACAGATGTTGGGTTGGACTGCTACTTCACACGACTCAAAATGTTTTGTATCTCATGTCATCTTACAGGCACCCCAAATGGATGCGCACCAAGATTAAACATCCTCCACTTGCAGAACGGAGTTTATCGAACAATTGGCAGAATGATGTCAACAGTAATAGTGCAAGGGGGTGAACCACCTGCGTTTCTGTCCCGGCATGTAGTGAACTACATTGTGTCTGGGGACATCCTCCAAGTACACGTCACACCTGGTGACATAGGTGACCCTAAGTTAAGGGATAACCTGAAAAAGGTGATTTGCAATGCTTCACGTAAGACTATTTTTGTAATACTCTACATATTGCACATTGTGTTGCCTTTTTGCAAAACACATGTTCATCTTTCACTTTAATGGTTAAGTGGCCAGTAAAATACATAATGGTGTAGCATGCTTTTTAATTTATGTATGCAACAAAGTGGTGTGTTGTCACTCAACAGATTGAGTGACAACACACTAATGGAAGGGTGGCCAGAGTTGAACACAAGATCATACTTCCTACTTGCATGTGTTACAGAAACGCACAATGGCCTTTATGAAACCAGTTTGAAATAATGTGAATGATACTCTCAAATCAATTACTCTATCCACTGTCACTCTCCATGACTCTCTATGACTTTTAACATTTTCCCCCTTATATAAGGTCATGGTAATTTGAGTTTAAAATGTATCAGGTGGAGTACAGCAATAGAAACTTGATTAGATTAGTTTATTTTCAGAGTTTTTCACATTTGTGGAATGCATTGTCAGCCAATGTTTAGTTTTATTCAGGTTAAATCCCAAAACACTTTTTTTATAAAGGGGATTACTAAAGTATTGCAGGTTAAAAATGCAACCACGCAAGAGGATTTGGGGAAAGCAGTCAGCTGCTGTGACTCGTGGAGATTTGAAGTTGAAGTCTTCCACTCACAGTCACCATGTCCAACAGAGATGTGTTTGTGAGAAATGCAGCTCTATTCCATGCCCTTCTGCAACGGCATAGCTGTCTAGATCAACTCATAGATGGCTTGTCCTACTATGGTGTAAGATTTACATCATAGTTGTTCTGACATCTTTTTTATTAACTAGCTATAATACATTTACAAATTAACCTAAATAAATTTGTGCAGATGGGTGTCAAATGAAAGGAAAAACCAATGTAAAGTGTTTAGTATGAAGTCTCCACATGCCTTAAGAACAGCTCCAGTGTTCTTGTGAAGTCTGTGGAACTCTGTTGGAGGGATGAACCTCTTTCAACTGAATCTCACACATTTACTCGGGGCATACAGCATTGCATATCATCACAGATAAACTACCTTAGGAGATCAAAGTTTGTATTATATGCTGTGAGTGATTGTAGTTGAGAGCAATGTCTTACATGTTTGTCCAAACTTTTCAGGTTCACATTTAATTTTTTTTCTGTAATTTATCTCCCATCTTTACAATTACATTAGCATGACCACTTTTACTGTCATATATGTTTAAAAAATATTGTAGGAGAAACAGTGATTTAAAAAATATTTAACAAGAAATACACATTGAAATGGCGTTGTCTCAAATTGTATTTCATTTCCTTTTAGGTATTGTCACTCTTGAGAGAGAAGCCCATCCTGCGTGTATTGCTTGACATACCAGGGGAGGACCAAGATCTTGGAGCCAACTTTATTGCTGGTCTTCTCAAACCAACCTACTCTGTTCCAGGGGAGCAACAGGAAAGCTAAGGAGCAGTTGATAGTGGTAAAATTCGGGAATTTCTCCTGTGTCGAAAGTAGGTACAATTGTGCTGATATTATGTTTCTATGTCACAAACACAAAAGCATAGTTGTATGATTGCTCACAACTGACAAAATTACTTATCTCTATGTACACCATTTCCGTTTTAGCATCAAATAAAGTTAATTTCTCACCAGATATTAAGTCAACATTATTTTACCTTTGCTTTTTAGATGGAGCTGAAAGACACATTTGGAGACAGGAATCTAACCAAGGACAAGGAGGCATTCCTGACGGCTTTGAGACCTGGTCACATCCTGGTTTTTGCTACGGCAAGTGGCAAGATCCCTGCAATCGGTTTTTCATCCAACTCCTAAATTAACATTCGTTCATGATGACAGCAAAAATCTTCCCATTGCACACACGGGCAAATGAGCTTAAGCTTTTTGTGAACACGACCACATTGGCTGAAGAATTTAACTACTGCTTCCTGGTCGCTCTAATGAATGGATCTTTATTCAGCACCATCTAAGCAAATGTTACAATACCTTTAGAGGTGTAATGCACAGAAATGCATCAGCAAATTTAAGTCAAACATACACTATGTGAAGCACAGTTGACCAACTAAGGTTGTTCCTCAAATGTTCAGATGTTAAGTTTGTATTCCTACGGTAATTTGTTTAATAGCTGACATGTTTTGTCTATAAATGTGCTGGAGTAAAGAAGCAGCTTACAAAAAGGTGATAAATGCCCTTGTAAGAATTTCAAAAGTATGAGATACACACAAACCAAACTTTGTAATTAATTGAGGATTTATTCCTTTTCATGTCACATCCTGCCACAGCTTATTTCTTGTGGTATGAAATCGATAATAAAACACAAAGTTAGGAAAAACTTACAGAAAGCACATTGTGGCAGACATTGGTCAAGGTTTTTACAGGCTTACGACTGCTACAGATGACAGATTTACTTTGTTCATTTTTCAGAGCACAAGTTATTAATTTCTGTCAGGACCTAAAGACAATTTCAACCAACATCTTAAAAAGTGGATCTGGGGAAAATTACCGACCCTACCTTTCAGTTACTTGTTATCTAAATAACAAAAAAATGATTCATGCATCAGTTCATCATCTGTTTTGGAAGATATAAGCCCTGCTGACACACATCGTCAAATAATGTGCCAAATCAATTTATTGCTGACATCTTCTAAATACTGATTCAGAGAAGATGTTATTTTTTGGGCAGATAAAGTCACCTGTTGAACAAACTCAGACTTGTTTTCATTTCGAACACGAGAGATAACACTGGCATTGTGAGTCTGACACCAAAATAGGTCTTGACACAAACATCGGAATTGCCTAACAGCTAAATTGTTATTTCAAACATAAATTTCTGCCTTATTTCCCAACCTGGGCATCTCTATTAATTTGAGATTATTTGTTATTATTTGATGATTTGTTACATCTTAACATTGGCAAGAGGCTTCAGTTCCATAACAGGAACACATTTTAATTGCTGCAGTCTTAAAGCAATACAAGCATACCTCTATTTGATAAGCATCATTGAATAGTACTTTGACAGTATTGCTTTATTTTTATTTTTTGCACATAATTCTGCTTTTAAAGGTAACTGGTATTAAGTTGTGCCTTATGCATTGAGTTCACTCACTTACAAGTTTGTTGAAAATAAACTGTGTTCTCTGAAACAATGTTTTGCCATTATTACCGTCATTTTCCAGAGCATTAATAGTGGAATGTTCTCGCAAATCTGTGTCATTTCATGGGAGAAACCCACTTTGGGAGTGAGGTGAGGAAGAAGCAACAACCTCTACTGTCTAGAGTTCTGCATTGTGAAGCTGAAGCAAATGATTGTCCAGTGTAAAAAGTTGAACTGGAATTCTATTTCCTTCAGATGAAATGGAGTGATGGTTAAATCCAGCTTTGAATACCTCCAAAGTGCGGTTGATTCTGGGTAGAAATACATAATGAAGACTTTAAAATATGTCTGTTGCATTTTCTAAGTCCAGGATACCCTGGGATTCCAGGTCATAAATAATAAATGCATAAACATGGCTGCAGTTTCTGTTCAAGTCTCGGTTGAAACGTTCAATTCTTTGGTTGTGTACAGAGCTTCCAAGTAAGACAGAGCCTTCACCCCTGGTTGCTTGCGTCTCCTCCCAAATCTGAACGTTCTCTCCTCCGTGATCAGTCCTGATGTGCAGTGGTCTGCCAAACTGTCACACAGTCACACAGCTGCAGTAAAGAGGGCTTTCACAGTTTCAGCTCTATTGTTGTTGGAGCAGTGAAGAAACATCAGCATTCTACTGTAGCCGTCCATTGCCCCATGAACAACCAATTTCCACCTAATCAGTTTGTGATTTCCATCTACATGCCATATGAAATTTGGATGGGGCACAGAATAAACTCGCCGCACTATTGCTGTTCTTCTCCTGTACAGGACACCAGCTGAGTCCACCCTTCGCAGTGACTCTCTTACACAACGTCTTTGAACCACAATGTTTTTGGATTGCAGATGCCCCATAAGCATCACTTCTCCAATTTTGGATGTTCAGTTTTTATCTGTGACACTTAAATATCCAATTGTTGGTCACTGATGCTCTTAATTTTTGATGTTGGGATACTATAGTCCTGCAACAACTTAAAGGATAATAATATTAATAATATAATAATAATAAAAGGTTGGCCTTGACACAGCAAGTATAGATGCAGCTTCAGTAAAAGTGGTTTTCAGAGCAAGAACATTTTCCAACTCTTGAAAAATGTGATGCCTTCCTTGGTAACCATCCTGCAAACAGCAAAATGAATTAATGTTTCTCGAGAGGAAAAAAATACGCTGCCCAGGCACAAAATTAGAATCACTGTCAGGTTTAAATGTTTGGATGCTACATCAGATTAAAACTATTTGACTAATATAGAAACAGGGATATTTGAGGGAAAAAAGTAATAAAGGAAGTATAAACTCATAAAAGAGAACATGAAAATGAATAAAAACGTACTTTTTGATCATTCAATGGGGTTAAGTTTAATCGTGGTACTGATGTGGATGAGTTGTTTGTGCCCTGAGGAGTTTTAATTAAATTGATTGGTATTATCATGTTATCTCATACCTTGATGATAATAAGAATAAAGTTGATATACCACACATATTAAAACAACAACAACATCTGTATGACTGGCGTATAATAGCGTACCAAGCGGTGTGTTGACAAGGTGGAGGATGTGGCTGGTCCAGGTGCCGTGCTGCTGGCGCCCTAAGGAGACATGACGTTCATTGCTGATTGCGTTAACTACATTAATAAAACCATTTTCATTTTAATAGCCCATCATGTGAATCAGCTACCCAACGCAAAAACGAAGTAAATAGGCTTGAGCATGAAGTAGCCTATGTTGATCGTTAACTAGGCTACATAAAAAGGTAACAACACCAAACACAGTAGGCTAAATCAGCCGTTAGAAAAGAAACGTACCAAGTGCTGTGATGGCGCTGTGGAAGATCCTGTGGCCGACACCGAAGAAGTAGTGCTTTGAAAACCCTGAAATGCGGCCAAAACGGCCCTTCCAATATTCTTCTAGTTTCGTTTGACATTTTCAAAATCCCACTAGTCTCCTGTAGGAGACAATGGTTGGATCGCTTCCTCAAACTTTTATTTTGGTGCTTCCGGTGGGCGGTAGAATGAATTTGCATATTAGCTAAATATTTAGAAATCGTTGTTAAATATTTAAAAATCTTAGCTAAATATTTATAAATCGTTGCTAAATATTTAGTTTATATTCTATATATTTAGCTTTGATTATAAATATTTACAATCTTAGCTAAATATATAGGATCAAAGCTAAATATTTAGAATGAAAACTAAATGTTTAGAAATGTAGCGAAAGATTTAGAATCAGGACATGTATTTTTAACATTTATATATAACATTTAACATTTAGATAAAACATTCAACATTTAGATATAATATTTAACATTTATATTTGCAAATGAAATGATCTTACATTTTTATTCACAAAAATAAATATGACAAAGTTCACAAATATTTCTCTAAATGTGAATAAAAAGTGATGTTTTAGGGCTAAATGTGGAGAAATGTTGTTGTTATTTGTAATGTGCGCAACTTTACAATCGGCGCCCCATACAGGCGTATGTACATTTTGGAGGCATGGGAAATTGGCGACACAGACGGCGAAGTGGTGAATTGAAGTCTGCAGATACATATTGATGCCTCTTCCACATTTTATTTCACTAAATATCAAACTTTACTGACAGATCCACGTCATCATAATCATTCAAACCGATGGTTTTATTTAGGCAATAATCGCGCATGTAGTGAGCCGTTTCCAATAAGTCACTTTAATTATGACAATATAAACAAATAAAAATCAAATTAAAAGTCCGCCCCATACATATTGCATCAGCGCCGTCTTGCTTTCATTATCCCGGACAGACCTCAAAGGACTGGACTTGTACACTAATGTAATCACTGATGTAGAGTTAAACATTAGACTAACACAAAGACCATAGAGTCACCAGTTTTCATTAATATCTTTCAATATCGTGCAATTATCATCAAGTGTGATTTTTAGTTTTAATAAAGATGACTGCGTCAAGACGCACAGAGGCACAGTGGTGGCTTCACACATTTCACCAGCTGCACGTATTTATTCTGTAAATAATTGTTATTCTGTAAAAAAAAGTGTTGACATAAAGTCGGAGCATCTCTGACAGGATCATTAGGTCTATATATCCTCATCATTAGTCACAGAGCAGACGGTTTGTTCGCAAATGTTTTTGTTCGTTGATCAAACTTTTGATTACAAATATGATAGAGTGAGGCAGACTGCTGACTAACGTGAGCACTCAATATGAAGAAGTCAGTGTGGGTCCCATAAACATGTAAACATTGCAGATATTCTCGTGCATAATGATGAACGGTGGATGTTTTGGCGCTGTAGGAGGACAGCGTGAATGCAGCAGCGACGTGGTGCCATTCTCAGATTTTTCTTCAGTTTGTGATCCTCCTGCTGCAGTAAACGACCGATATGTCCATTTTATCCTTCACTTCATTCACAAGCTCCTCCATTTCTGGCTCAGAAAATTGATTATTAAACATCCGGGTTTCACCGCTATCCAGCGCTGGAAAACCTTTGATCTGCCCCCTCGTTTGTATGCATTTTCATTCACGAGCTGCTTTGCAGTGACCATTTATGGTTGAATGTGGGCATGTAGAGGGCAGGACATGGGACTAATCCACGTGCGCACATTTCCAGGTGGATCGTGATTTATAAACGGAACATTGCTTGCAGGTGTGTGTACGAATGGTTTTATAAATCTGAATCATTTTGTGCGCACGCCATTTCCGTGTTTTTGGCACGTACATTTTTAGTATGGATTCTATGCACTCTTGTGAGACCCCTGGCGAGTGGCGGTGTTCACTTAACTGGAAAAAGGTAGATCAAAGTTACGGTAGTGCAAGGTAATACTTTGTATATATGTTTTTTCAATTTTACTTTGGTTGTAGTGATTAAAATGTCATTATACTATGCTACAGATTTACATAGCTAATGATAGCGCGCTTGAGACTGGCCTCTACATCTGCTTGCTAATGATTTTAGAGAAACCAGTCATGTGGCGGTGCTAACGAAAACGTTTTTTAACTTTGGTTGTAGTGATTAAAATGTCATTATACTATGCTACAGATTAGTTATCTGGTTTAGCTAGTGCTACTTTTTGAGTCTTTGGTCAGGGTATGAATTTAACGCTACATTTATTTCCGCTACATTGCAAGCACATGTGAAAAGATAATTTTTTGATCATAGATGTTATATTTAAAATAAAGGAAGTAAAAAGAGCATTTGAACCCAGTTCAGGTGGAGAGCAGAATACATACATTTTGTGGTAGCACAACATTTCAGGTCCCTTGCATAAGCATTATTTATGGTCCCCCGCTTCCAAAGTTAATCATTCTTA